AGCGATGCACTTGTTCCTAGTAGCTTCTTGCTCCTAGTAGTACGGCCAGGAGCCCCTAGTAGCGTCCTTGCTCCTGATGCCACCGGACCTTGGACCCAATCTTGCTACACAGCCAACATGATGTCTTGTATGGGCGCCTCCGCATTGTCTAGGTTGCTGAACTAGATTGCCCTTGGGGCGAGAATGATATGGCTCTTGCAATTGAAGTCTCATTACCTTCCAGAAGGTTGAGCCTACCTTGTTTCGATCCCACGGCCTGTCCTTCAACCCCTCGGTAGGCAAGGTGGAGTGGTGACAATTCCCCGTTTCTCCCGCCACAACCGCAGCTAGGGGTGTTATAAACAACGAAAGGATTTCAACGGCTGGATTCTTCAGGAGCAAGGACGCTACTAGGAGCAAAGGGCATCGCTACTAGGAGCAAGGACGGTACCAGGGTCTCCTCGCCTTAGGAACAAAGGGCAGCTAGTAGCCTAGTAGCTTCTTGATTTCCCACCAAGCGCGTTTTCATGGCAAAGAGCGCTCCTTGTTACAAAGAGCGTCGAATTTCCCGAGTGATCGGACCACGCGGAGCGGACCACGAGTTTTCTCGGCAGACCACCAGCACCACCACGACGAGCACCAGCACGGTGACTTCTACTAGCACCACCACCACCTCCACGGTGCGGCGGCCATGGGGATGGAGAATGTACTAATGACTGATAGTCACTAGGAGGAAGGAGCCCCTAGTAGCGATGCCAGGAGCCCCTAGCGTCCTTGCTCCTAGTAGCGATGCCCTTGCCCCTAGTAGCTCCTAGTAGCGATGCAAGATCACACGATGGATCACAATGGATTTGTAGATTTGTTCTTCGTAGCAAAAGGCCGGCAGGGGCCCATGTCGAAGAGTGGTTGATGAGTTTGTGGAAAACGTAAAGATCGACTGATGCAAACAAGGGGCGACAGACTCAGGAATTGTATGAAGGGACTCCTTCTTAAAGTAACATCATGTCCACAGCTGTCTAGAAATCTTCCGGAAACACTGTCATTGTAGCAGGCATCTTCCAACGCGACTCAGCTTTGTTCAACTGTCTCCCTTTGTAGGCTTTCAACTTCCTGAAAGGGTCCGTGTGCAGAGTCAACAAGGGACATTTTGTGAAGGTTTCGTACACTTTGCCTTCATGGGGAATCTGTCCAGTACGTTCAGCCTCTGTGATCACAATGAGGTTTGGAGATCTCTCATATCTAGTTGATGAACGGTTTGACATTGTGGAATTGGGCTCTACATTTACACATTGATGACCTGTGGTTCTTAGGACCTTGAGTCTTGAGCTGCACTGCGTCTTGGTAGACACATGTTCACCCTCCATAATGGCCCTGCCGACTCCTCAAGGCCTCCACATACAAGAGCTTAAGAAAGGCCCAGTTTTCCAACCATGACTGCCAGGCAAAGCCGTGTTCCCCTTGATGCTCGACGGATCGGACAGAGCGAAGAAACGCTGGTTTCGTGGACTTTCAAAAAGCCTCGCGCCAGTCGACGGTCACCACCACGACCACCACAGAGACAACGACCAGCACGACGAGCACCTCCACCTCCACAGCTGCTTGGCAGGACATGGAACGATGACTTAGATTTCGGAATGCAAATCGATCGTCAGTGTGGAGGAGTTTCGAGATTCCAGCAGAATGAGAAGCTTCAAGCATCTGGGTCAACCAACAAAAGAAAGAGATTTGCTGCTTCGCATGACTGATCATGAATCATGACTGATTTGTTGCCTCACTGAGACCACTACCTCGACTTCCACGGAGACCATCACGACGACCTCCACCAGCACCAGCACGACCAGCACATCCACGGCCCCTTTCAAGCACCATCCACGGCCAGGAAACAGGCGGAACGGGGAAGGTGTGAAACAATGTGAATCCATCCTAATAGCCATGGCCTCCAACCTAACAGCGATGGCCTCCAACTCAGCCTAATAGCGATGGCCTCCAACCAAAAGAGATGGCCTCCAACCTAATAGCGTTGGGTAGTGAGTGTATACTACAACTCCCCAAATAGATAGACAAGTAGATCCCAACTACGAATGTATTGGACACCGTGCCGTGCCACTATCTATTTGGGACCCTGGCCAGAATGAGTTGCATCACTCGGATCATCGAGCGAAAAGATGCCAGGTAAACAGGACTCAATGCACACCCTGCATGTTGTTCTACTTTGGAACAACTCTTTGATAGCAATTAGGTATGGTTTTGTCAAATTTCCAACCTTGAGGCCACCCGCGTGGCCAATCAATTCCGACTCTGATGGCCTAAGCTTCGAGTGGCACCTTTAAAGATGTACCAAGCATTTGCTTAGAAGCTGGCGCGGATCACATGTTGAAAGTCAGTTCAACTGTTTTGGCATAGGTGCAGCATAGCTTGCATTTGGCATTCCTGATGCCTCAATCCCTCATAATCCCTTATAATCTTTAAATCTACTCCCCCTCAGACCTCCAAGAAGCTACTAGGGGCTCCTGGCCTTACTACTAGGAACAAGAATACTAGGAGCAAAGGGCATCGCTACGATCGGAGCAAAGGACGCTACGAATGGTACCCTTCTTTTTGTCTTCCGCTTTCCGCTTTCCAGATCCGACCGCTCGGAGCATTCTCCCAGGTCACAAGCACCAGCACCACCACGACCAAGACCTCCACCACGACCTCCACAAGCACCACCTCCACGGCTCCGAGTCTCAGCAAAGGACCGACCGTGGGAGCCCCTTGTGTAGAGAACGGACATGAACGGACCAACACCCAGCGTTCTTGCTCCTAGTACTAAGGCCAGGAGCTACTAGTAGCGTGCTTGCTACACCCCGTTTCGGTTTTGGGGGGATCAGCGTTTCTTGGTTCTCTCATTTGGATTTGGGCCTTGGATAGTAGGCTTGGAGGTTCATGAAAGCCGAGGATGTGGACACTGCCCTTCCAAACCAAGCACTGGGCCTTCCGACCATCTAGCCAAGAGTCTGGCATTCATATGTCATCAGCCAGACCCACCGGCGGGTTGCGATGTGTCATTGGATGGGCTGGAAATCCAACAACCTTTAGCAAACAAGAATGAACAGAATCAATTGACTCTTGGGAGATCACTACCTCGTACCAAGCTTTTATTTGACTCAGATAGCTCTCCTGTGTAGCTGCTTCGCATGATTGCTCCTGCCGAGTCCACCACGAGCACTTCCACACAGACATCTACCACAACCACGGTGACTGAAACGGTCCGGGTGGCCAAGGAGTTGGACATTGGCTGAAGTTAAAGACCAGGTGGTTCAAATGGATACTAATAGCAGTACTAATAGCGATGGCCTGCAACCTAATAGCGATGGCCTCTAACCTAAGAGCGATGGCCTCCAACCTAATAGCAACGGCCTCCAACCTACTAGCAATGACCAGGTTGTTCAAATGGATACACCCCAAAGCTGATTTGGGGCGAGGGTGTCTTCCTTTCACTTGCTCCAGTAACCAAGCTTCTATTGTTGGAAAGACCTATCGAAGTGAAGTTCTCAGTCAAGGAGTTATCAATGAAAAAAGACTCGGGCTGTGGGCAAACCACGAACAAAGCGTTAAAAGACAGTCTGAACTGGTGGCCCGAAGCCTAAATAGATTCTGAAACCCGTGACCCGTGACCCACCTTTTACATACCATTTGATTCAATCATGAAATACAACGCTTGGACGTAAGTCACTTAAGTCACTTAAGTCATGAGTTGACGATGCTGAATGATGTGTCGGTTTCAAAATCTGACAGGTCATTTCATGAACAAGAAGCTACTAGTAACACGGGCATCGCTACTAGTAACAAAGGGCATTACTACTAGGAGCAAATAGTGAATGTCCTGGTGCCCTGCAGATCGAGTGTAGTCACAGGGCATGCTAATTGTTGTTACTAGTAGCTTCTTGTTACTAGCAGCGATGCCAGGAGCTACTAGTAGCTTCTTGCTCCTAGAGCGATGCCCTTTGTTAAGAGTCGCTGGGGTACGCACCAGGTCACCAGGGGCTTCAACAATTGGAGCTTGAGTAAAGTGGACAATTTGTCCTCTTAGTCTGCAGTGTATCTCATGCCGTTGTGAGAACCAACTCTGACTCTGCTAAGACCACCAGCACCATCACCAGCACCAGCACGGTGACGGTGCGCCGCTGTGTGCGCGCCGCAAGAGGACGTGCCAGTCCTGACGGTTCGTTTGCTTGTCCGGTTTTTTGTGGGACACCAGATTGAAATCTTCGGTGTCACGCACTGTATCGATGCTCTTTTCGTTTGGGACCGAACAAGTATTGCTGGATGCAGCCAGGGGAGCTTTATGCCCTGACAAGAAGTGTGTAAAATTTGCGATCTTCTCGCATGGCAAGACGTTGGAAGGGAATGAAGTTGTCCTCTTTTGAGATGGAGTTAGAGTTGTTGGACCCAGAGATTCTTGAAGTGGTTGGTCTGACCCAGAGGCCATGGGCACATCCAGTATGGCAATGTATTGTACTTACCTTCCACTTCCACTTCTCAATGAATTGTCAACCTCTGGCACTGATGCTGCACCTTCGATGACTTTTCAGAGTAAGCAGCACCGGCCCAGATGAGCACCTATCAAAACCAGGTCTTATGTAGCTTAAAGGAGGCTAGAGACATCGTTTTT